TGTTGGGTGATTTAGGGTTTGTCATGTGTGTCGTGGCTGTGTCAGGACCTGTAACACATCGGGGCATGTCACATGTCTGAGATCCCTGTCAGGGGGTGTCAGAGTTCTGGGTAGGCAGGGTATCCTAGGTTCTTAGGAAGTTGTTTTGTAGGGTTTTGAGCTGTGTTCGGCTGTTGCAGACATGCTGAGGCATGTAGGGCCATGTGAAGGCATGATGGTGTGTGCTCTGCCCTGTGAGGGTGTGTGTTGCTCTAGTGTCTGCTGCAGCCTGATCTGGGCCCCTCCCTTCCCCGTCCTCCCTGCTCTGTCTGCACTTGGCCCCCTTCCTGCTATTCTGGACTTGGAGGAGGGAATTCATACCCCTGGCTGGGAGCCTCCAACCCCACCCCAAGCCCCTCCCCTGCCCGTCCATGTTCCTGATTGTCCTCATTCATGCCAGCCGCCATTGTACGGAAGAATAGTATCCTCTACGGCTTCATAAAGCCCTGGCTGGGTGAGTAACTGCAGGCGAGTGGGGCGGGGACAACCTTGTGGGGCAGGAGAAGGTGCTGCCTTTGCTCACTGCCTTTCGCTGCCCGACTAGGGGAGGGGCTCCTGCTGAGTGCCGGTGACAAGTGGAGCCGCCACCGTCGCATGCTGACTCCCGCCTTCCATTTCAACATCCTGAAACCCTACGTGAAGATTTTCAACGACAGCGTGAGCATAATGCACGTAAGTCCCTTGACACTGGGGTCCTAGCTGGAGCCTTGGGGTGGAGGGCCCACAGACAGGTCTGAGCTGGAGTTCTGGCTCTGCTGGGTGGCTTGGTCCTTCTTCTTCCTCTCGGAGACTTGCTTTCCTCACCTGTAAAATGGGTATAATAATCCCTACTTAAGAGGAGGTCAAGATGATGTAATGGTGTCCTGTCCGTGGCACATAGCAGGTGCTCAGACAGTGTCAGTTTCTCTGTTTCTCTCCCTGTGAGCTCAAGAGAGCAATGATGAAGATTACACAGCAGCTACTGCTGCGAACAAACCACTTCCGAACTCATTGGATTAATCAATGTGCTCGTCATTGCTAATAAGTCTGGGGGACAGTGGGCTGCTTCTTGTGGCTGTGGAAGGGTCATTCAGGGTGTGTGATCAGCTGCGGGCCGGGTGGCAGCGTTGCTGATCCTGGCTCAGTCTCTCACCTGTGTGGGGCTCGGCCGGCATCAGGCTGATCTAGGACAGCCTCAGCAGGGACAGCTGGACTTTCCTCCATGCGATTCTCTCCCTCCAGAAGGGATCCCCGGCTGTCCCCACGGCAGATACAGGGCTCCCAGGGAGTGAGAGGAGGCTGCAAAGCCTCTTGGAGTTCAGTAGAGTTATTGTGTCATCATTTTTCCCACATCGTATTGGCCAAAAAAAAGGCAAAGGTCTGGCACAGAATCAAAGTGTGGTGGGTAAAATAGGCTCCGTCTCTTAATGCAAATTGCTGAAAAATCCCACTGCCAAGGTTGTGGGCTGAGGGAGATGTGGAGAATGGGGTTACGGATTTGTCTGTATATTTTGCCTTTTTATTTCAGATTATAATGGGGGTACAAACATTTTGGTTACAAAAATTTCTTTAGTACCATTTGAGTCAAAGTCGTAAGTGTGTTCAGCACCCAGGTAGTGGGCATTGTACCTGTTAGGTGTGAATTACCCATCTGCTCCTGCCCCCTTCCACCCGCTGGATTTCTGATGAATGTTATTTCCATGTGTGCACGTAAGTGTTGATTGATTAGTTCCATTTTAATGGTGAGTACATGTGCTGTTTGCTTTTCCATTCTTCTGATAATTCACTTAGAAGAATGGTTTCAAGGTGGGATAAGGATTTTTTGAACTGTCTAAGATTTTTTTTCTTACTCGCAAGGTTATAAGTTAACGTGTTACTTTTTCATGGATTCTGCCACAGACACGAGATTCCAGGGTCAGAGACAAAGGGTGGTTGACAACTCACGGCACAACAGCACGTGCTTCTTCTTGGTTTCCCTCCTTTTTCCAAGCCGCTCAATCCCACGTGGGTGACACAGGTGGGATCCTATCGATGCCTGTTCCTGGAGTCCATTGCAGTGCAGGGGAGGAGCACTAGGCTTAGGGAATCTGATTTTACAGCAAGCAGACACAGC